GATGCTAGACCACCTGAACTCAAATCCTAGTTCTCCTCCTTCTGATTATGACCTTGAACAAATTACTCAACTTCTCAGCACCTTAGCTGCTTCTTCAGTAAAACAGTGATAATAATAAAAACCTTGCTCACAAAGTTGTTGAAAGGAATAAAGTTAATAAAAGTATTTATTTAGTACAGTGAGTGCCCAACACAAAATAAACACAAATAAATATTAGTTAAATAAATATAAAATCAATCAATGCATAAATACAAGGATTTTGTACTGCCACTACATTCTAGTATAACTTGAAAAATCCTTAATACTGTATTCCCATAATCTGGCAAATTACAACTCTAAACATGTTAATACAAAAATTCAAGTTAATCAGAATTCCCTTCTAAAGAATTATCATTCGTAAAATCTGACTACCCAGAAATGTTTCTCCATTAAAAGAACCATATACACAATGAACATATAAGATCAAATCTTATATGTCAAATCCAAAATCCAAAAATTTCAATTCTCTAGAGAAATGTATAAAACAGTTTAACGGGGAACACATGGAGACAGAACACAAAGTAACGGAAATGCCACTTCAGCCACCAAAAGAACAGGAAGAGCAAATACTAAGGCTGTACTTTGAAAACCTAACCCTATTTCTTCTTGGTAGGGCTCTAACCTCTTGCCAAGAAGCCTTTAAGTTTATTTTTCTCACATCTTTGATTTGAAAGGGGAAATCTTGAAACTAAGCATTTTGGAAATAAAGGAAACAGAAGAGAAGCTCTTTCTATGCATTATGGTAAACGTTTACATCAAATATTCTAAATGGTAATCAGGGTCAAAAGAAATAATTTTATTTAAAATAATGCAATTCTGGCAATTAATTAGAAAAGATTACTTTTTAACTATTAATGTACTTTTAAAACATCTGATTAAATAGTTCATAGGAGTGTTTCACAAATCAAATGGGGGGTGAGAGGGAAGCCTAGTTACCTCTTATGAAGGGTTGGTTATTCCTCATCTGCCACTCTAAATTTTAAAACACCTTTAAAAATTATTCAGATACATATACACTAAACATGAAAAGCCTTCCTATAAGGATTAAAAAATAGATGACTGGAATCTAATATTTTTAAAAATAACAAATCCACTAGTGAAGCCTAAGTATTTTTTGCAGATATTTTAGAATTTATTTGCTAATTACAAATAATGCAGCTACCAAACTGGTTATATATCAAGTTCTCTTCTGAGTTTCTCTTTTAAAGTACATACAATTCAGAAACATAACTGTATGTACCAAGGAGGAAAAAAATTACATTTGCGTAGTTCTGCTACATACCTCAGGCATTTGACCTATTTGACTCCATTACCATTTTCTGTATTTCAGAACTATTAAAGACTAAATAGTAAGGGACAGAATCGGTTAAATAATGAAAAGGGAAAATATAAATCATATGGTTAATTCTTATGAGAAAAAAGAATAATAAGTCCACATGTTAACCACGAAACAACTGCTTCCTTAAAACAGGATCTATTTGGAAAGCCTCAGTTACTTTATTTCTAAACATGACACATCTTGGGGCAGATTTCCCACTTAATCTCTTCCTCACATCCACCTTCTGGCAAATCAGATCCCAGTTAGATACCTTCTCAACAATATGCCAACTAAGCACCCGATGGAAGTCATACATCAATACATTTGATTAAAAAGGTAATTAATTCAGGTACTTTTTGATATTTTACATACATTTTCAATGGTTATACAAACCACTAACCCAAATGCAAATTCCACCTTCTACATATTCAATATATTCACAAATTCTTAACTTTCAAAAGAATTGTTTCCACAATTAAATTTAAGCAGGGTATAGATCCAGCACACAACACAAATATCCCACATTATATCTACTACAGAGATACACTAATAATGGATGCTTCTTAATAAGAACACGATCTTGATTTGTTCCCAAGATATAAAGCACATGATGGATTGAATGAAGCGTCACTGGAAATTAAGTGGGAAAAAATACAGATTAAAAAAAGTGAAGCCATTATTACCATTAACATAAATACTGTATTTCAGTGCAACATGTTAGAATGTAAATGCCCAAGGACAGGAAATTAAACAAATATATAAAAAAATTAAGTATTCCTATCAAAAAAACAAAGTAAGACTAAAGGTTATGAAGTCAGATAATAATGGTTTTTAAATTAAGAATTTATAAATTTAAAAAATTGTGTTTTGGGGTACCTGGGTAGCTCAGTCAGTCAAGCATCCAGATTCTTGATTTCTGCTCTGGTCATCGTATCAGAGTCGTGGGATCAAGCCCCGTGTTGGGCTATGTGCTGGCTGTGGAAGTTGCTTAAGATTCTCTCTCTCCCTCTCCCTCTGCCCTTCCCCTAACCCTCTCTTCAAAAATAAATAAAAAATAAAAATTATGTTTTGTTTATATTTGAATAATTATGGATGTTTGAAGCATTCTATAGCCTCTTTAAATGGAGTTAGAAACTACTACCTAAGCATATGGCTTGCCTCTCCCGTAGCCATAAGAGAGGATTAAATTAGGTAACAGTTAATAAGTGCCTGGCAAACTGAAGTCCTTCCAATTTAAGGGTTGCTATTCTTCTACCTTGATTACGACAATTAGAGACCCAAAACTAAATGCAAATCGTGTTCATTTTAACATTTATGTTTCAAGTTGGACAACTCTTCACACTAGGGACCCTAGTTAACACTATTACCTACAGACACCCATAAGCAAAGCAAAAAATCTTTCTAAAACGAATAATATGTAGTACGAATTAAGCCCTAAGTCGTAGATAATAATAATCACTTCCTAATATGGAAACACCTTGCGGAGTACACAGAAACCACCTCGACAGTCTAATGGCCCATGGGGGGAAAAAACACAGTCCTGGGCATATTTCTGTTATACACTAACAGTTAAAAAATGAAATTGCAAGGCACTTGGGTGGCTCAGTGGGTTAAGCCTCTTCCTTCGGCTCAGGTCATGATCTCAGGGTCCTCGGATCAAGCCCCACATTGGGCTCTCTGCTCAGCAGGGAGCCTGCTTCCTCCCCCTCTCTCTCCACCTGCCTCTCTGCCTACTTTCGATCCCCCTCTCTCTCTCTCTCTCTCTGGGTCAAATAAATAAATAAAATCTTAAAAAAAAAAAAAAAAAAGAAATTGCTTTCACTAAGTTCAACTGATGAGGCAACAGTCATTCAAGATATTAAAACATGCAACTGATCTAAGCCCTCACTAGAAAGAAAAATTCCTAGAAGAGAAAAAACTATCTCTACATTAAAGCCTGAAGTTCATGGTGTCAAGACACAGAACTGTCTGTGAAAGCCTTTTTAATTTTCTGGAAGCGTGTTAAAGTGTGTGGGTAGGAAGGTGTTTAGAAAAACCACTGACTGGCCAGTCTTCACTTAATATAAATTTATGTCATTATTAAAAAGTTGTTACAAGGGCATTTAAAACTATATAGGGAAAAGAGTATTTTAAAACCTTACTTTAAAGAACTAGATAAGAGTAGTAGCAACTTATATGGATTTAAAGAAAAAAAATTACACATTACCAAGAATATTCAAGTTCTAAAGTCGGAGCTTACAGCAGTGGTAGAAAAGAGCTACAAATGTTGAGTTTACTCTCCAAACCTAATCCCATTTGGCATCTGCAGTAGCTGCTATTACAAGAGAAAAAGGGTAACACTAATAAAACACAAACATCACCCTCCTAACTCTAACCTATTTTCTACCCTTCTTCGCAAAGTGTTAAAAGTACTGCTACATTTGAAATTATGCAAAACTTTTGAAAGCTATACATATTTTTGTTATAACTTATCACTTTGAAGTGAGTTAGAGGAAAACAGTTTTTACAGTAAGAAGTAGTTTTTTCACCTACCCCCCCATCACAAAAAAGAAAAATAAAAAACAACAAGAATTAACAGTGTTAGGTCAAACCGTAAGACTGGCTATAGCAAACCAAGCAGTCACTTGAAGGGAAGTAGAGAACAAAACTGTCTACTCCAAATATCAGATAATCAAAAAAAATCACGTATGGTTTCACAATTCATTTTAAAGAATTTTCCATATATAAAAAAGTGTCACCATTTAAATATATTCTACATTTTCTAAACAGGCAAGGACTGAGAGTTAAAAGCAGCCTGCACGACCAGTGCATTAGAGGAGAACCAAGCAGTAATGACTTTTTTTTTTAACTTTTCCACAGCGAAGGAACCAGTCACAATGAATAATGGGTTTGTCTGTATCAATAATTTGTTCTAACAGCACTTCATGAGCAAACTATCTTGGAAGAATTCACATTTTGTACATTTTTCTTTAAAGTGCAGACCTTACAGCCAAAGCCCAAAAGAGAAATCAAAACAGGACTCACTGTCCGTGAATTCCCTTTCAGGCCTTGCTCACTCTTGCTCCAAACAGTAAAGCAAAGTTACTTTCATGAGAATAATTCAGTCAGGCTAATGTGTCCAGCTGCCATTTTAAAAAGGAACTTATTATTGTGCCTATTTCCCTAGGTTTTTTTTCCCTGAAAAGTTTTAGGTCACTCCACTGAGTCAAACCTTGAGTAATCCACTGAGCTTTGTACCTCCAGGTAAAGGAAAGAAAAATGAGGATATTACAAGTGGCTTCCAGGTCTGGAAAAAGTTGGGAGGAGTTAAGCTATGGTAATTGTATGTAAGTTAGTGAATGGAGTAATATTACACCGGATAAGAGAAGCTGGTCCCCCGAGATAACCAGCTTAAATTAAAAAGGAGTCCAAACTCAAGCATCAATCACCTTTTTACCATTTTTAAAGAGATGCAGGTTATTTGTAGGTTTGATACTAATCCATTTTTTATCCCAATAATCTACACTTTCATACTCAACCTTCTAAATTCAAACCGCCAGGGTTAACAGTTCCAGGAAATGATACCACCGTCAGCCAATCCTTTTCCAGACCCCATTAGAAAAAGAAACACGGGGGAGAGGGGGGCTGACATTCATAACTTATCTAAAAAGCATGAAAATAGAATGATTAAATTCCACCAAAGGCAATTAAAAATCCCAACTTCCCATAAAGCGTTCCCTACACCAAACGGAGTACCTTTACTTTCATTCTCCCAAAGTAAGTAATCTGGGCTAAGAGTCGGATAATGAGTCTGATGTGTCTGACACAAATGAGACGAAGGAACCTAACTGAAGCTACAGAGGCAAAGAAATGTAACCTAAAGGGGAGAGGAAAGCTGGAAGAGAAACCCGAGAAGGGAACGGACAGAAGAGACTGACTAGTGGAGCAAAGGAGTGGGAATCACTTCAAGGGAGAGAGCCTCCAGGACTGCGGAGAAACAGGGATCTAGGTCCACGGAACCGGGCGTTTACGGAACCCGAAGGCTAATGGGGAAACAATGGGGGCGGTGAGACCGGGAGCAAACCGAGAGACGCTCAGGAGAGGGCGACTAGGCAGCACGGGACGGGGGTGGGGGGCGTATGAAAGAGCAGAAGGCTGCAGTAGACAGAGGCGGTAGGGAGGTGAAAAGCTACGTGGAGAGGCAAGTTGGTCGAGTGTGATGGGGTTTCGTGGCGCACCGGGCAGGAAAGCGAGGGTCTTCTAGGTACCCGGGGGTGGGGGAGTGGCTTATCAGGGATTTTTAGACAGGGAACGGAAGCCGTGAAGGCAGGTGTGATGGAAGCAAAAAGCACACACCTCGGAGCAGCACAGGACCCGCCGTGCCAGACAAGACGACGGGAAGGAAGAGGCAGCTGAAGGGGTAAGAAAAGAGGAGGGAAGAACGCGGGTCGCGGGGACAGAGGCCGTGGTCGGCTTCACTCACAGTCCAGGTGTTTTTTCTTGGGCCCCATGATCTCGTGGGTCGTGGCCTTGCATACTGTCTTGGATACCGCGGAGCCGGTGACACTGTGCTGAGCGGCGGTGATTCGGTCCGTCAAGCTCTGGCCGGACATCTCTGCGGCGCCTCCGCCACCCCTCCCGCTCGGCAGCCGGCGGGGACTGGGACCCCCAAGCGCCGGAGGACCCCCACCCCCCACCGCACCCCCTACCCCCACCGGCTCCTTCTCCGCCTGCCGGCCTGGGGCGGGGCTCAGGGCCGCGCGCTGCCACCCAGCCGGGAAAGAACCGGCTCGTGTCACCCGCCGGGTCAGGCACGGAGTCGGGCACTCCCCTGCCCCCGCCTCAGCTCAGCCCACCCCTTCCCTGGTCAGCTGGAGCCGGGCAGGGCAAGAGGGACAGGCAGCTGCAGGAAAATGGCGGCGCCAGGCTCCTCCTCGGAGCTTTCCGGGCTGTCCCGGGTCACGTGACTCGGGCGCCGCCCCTCCGTCTCCTTCTCCCGCCCCTTTTCCCTTCCCTTTCCTCTTCGACGCCCGCCCTCCCTCGCTCCGCGAGGGAAGAGCGGGGCGGCGCCCGCGCGTTGCGTGATGGAACCCGCCCGGCGGGCGCAACAGGAGGCCCGCCCGGGGGCAGTGCGCGGCGGGCCGCGTCACGTGACGCTCCCTGCCAACAGGTCGCCCGAGGCTGGACGCGGGGGTCACAGAGGGGAGGTGGGGCGGGGGAGGGGCGGCTAGTCCCGCGCGCCGGGGGCGAGCTAGTGAGTGGCGCCTGTTTTACCTCTCTCCCACCTCAAGGGTCTTCTGTTGCCTGTGGTTGAAACCAACGGCTTGACAAAGAGGAGGTGCGGCCACCTTCACGGCTTGGTGTGGGGAGGGGGCTGTCAGGGCTCCGGCTCTCCGAACTTCAGTGGCTGAGTCAAGATTGTGTTGGGGGATTCCCGCCCCCCACCCCCCAAAGCCATCCTCCTGGTTTTAAGGAAAAAGAAAACGCTTCAGTTGGTCCATTTTCTGAGCCTGGCCAGCAGGCCTCTCCCTACTGTGAAACTGTTGAAGCTCTCTCTACTTAGTTACCCCGGGAGGGTTGGGTTTGGTTTTTGTTGGTTTTGTTTTGTTTTGTTTTTCCCATTTTCTTGAAAGGCTTGGAAATGTCACCTGTTTTTGTTTATCTCTCCTCTGAAAACTCAGACGCGCTACTGCTGGACTAAATTTAGATACTAACCGTCCTGTATTCTTTCTCTAGGGTGTCAAATAGGACAGGAAACACATAACTTCACTGGAATTTGAAAAGGGAAGTAGTAGGATGATGTCAACAGAGATTAGCTTGACCCTACAAGGCTGACTGCGGAGGTGATTAAAGGTCCAGACCATAGAAGGAAGTGAGAAGGCTGGTAAATAGAGAAGTCCCATTCAAAGAATTGATACATCACTACCTGCCGTCTCCCCGCGTTTAGTTTTTCCTTCCCTTTGGCCTTTTTTCTCTTGGGTGAACCAGATTTTCGGGAAAGGAGACACTGACACCTGACCTGTAGACAGTTTAGAGGAATTACTATATCCTGTGAATCTGTTCTGTGAGCCTTTAAAAATGTAATTAGGGCCACATTTAACTCAGGTTTAGGGATAAATTTTAAAATCTCTATGAGTGTTAAATTACCATGATAGTCCTATGTAATCTTGCTACTTCCAAATGAAATGCTAACATACTCCAAAAGTCTGTGTACACCATCTGCCAGCCAAATCCAAAATTCGTGCTTCAATCTGGTGATTCTCAGAAGATGCAAAGCTAATAGTTAACATTTTATGTATCATATCACAGGTTTTATGGTCTCCTCCCATTCCCTTCCCCCCCCCCTTTTTCACTATGGCTGGTGAAATTCTGCAGCACCATGATTTGCCAAGAACATACAGTCTTAAATCAGCAGGCTTCATCTTTGTCAAGCCAGTCCCAAATTTCACAAAATGGTAATTAATGACTTCCTTCAGTGTTTCTGCGGTCCATCTACAGCTTGGTGCCCAGTTTGCTGCCCGGTGTCCATTGTGCAGTGCAGTCACCCAGTCCTCAAGGCATGTTGTATGCCATCCTTGCTGCCCTTCTATGGGTTCCACTGAGTGAATTACCAGTTGACCTGAGCATCTGCACTAATAATAATAACTCCTGCTGAAGTCAGTCAATATGAGCATGGCAGCTGCCAATAGCTAAATATTTCAACCTTAGGGAAAATGTAAAAGTTACTCCTATGTACACAGCAGGAAACTTGTATTTTTTGCACTACTATGAATGATACTAAAGGATAATATAACTGTACATTTTTCGAGGATGCATTTCATAAGTTTCTGAATGAGTAAATAACCAGTGATCATTATAGAAGTTTATGTACAATGGTGAACTGAAAGGTATGAAGAAATTTTGAAGATGATGGGAAAATATTCTAAGGATAGGAATTACTGATGGGCCTACCTGCCCTGTCCTATATCCTTAAGTTTTCTGTGTGTTCTACTTTCCTTGGTCTGTTAAAGAAATATCTTTACTTGTCTCACAGGTGCTTCAAGCTCACTGTGGCCAAAAATGATTTCTCTTGTCCCTGCCCATTCCATATCCCTTGTCCATGCAGATCATCATCTTTGTTCTTTATTCCAGGAATGGCCTCACCACCTGCCCAGAAGTCCAAGTCAGAAAACCATGACTCATTCTTAGCCCTCCTCTCTTATTTCTCTTACCCAGCCTAATCTAGTTATATCCCTCAAACCCATTTTCTTTCTAACACCACATCTATTGCCTTAGTTCTAGCTTTATTATCATTTATGAACTCTTTCCCATGTAGACTGTTCTAATAACTTCTTAGCTGATTTCTCTCTCTCTCATACCTCAACTGTCCAATCCAGATCTTTCTGAACCTAAAATATGAATCTTTTCTTTGTATTAAAACCTTTGTAGCACCCCGTGCACTACTCTAGAGGATAAAATTTAGGACTCTCCGTTTGACAGATAAAGCCTTTCATGATCTAGCCCCTACCTAAATATAGTTTGTTGAGCCTTATCTCTCTCCAGTCCTCCACATGCAGTCCAGTTAGTGTCACACTACTGGGTATGCCATTCTGGTTCACGCCCTCGTAAGTAGTCAACGGTTTATTTCTGTTACTCATGTAGTATCTTACACATACTCCTACTAATTATTTTTATAATTGTTTTATTGTGCTAACATGAGGCACAGAGATATCTTCTTGTTAATACTGTGGCTGATACATAGTAGACACGCAGTAGAATACTAGTTGAATGAATGAATGAATAAATGAATGAAAACACTTAGAAGTCACCCATTTGGAAACACTACTCCAAACCTCTCATTGGATAAAACCTGCCCAATTTTTCACACTTACAGCATGTCCATTCTGTACTTATCCATCTGAAGGATCATCTTTATTTCAGTATTAGTTTATTCACAAAAATATATGTATTGAACACCCACTGTGTGTCAGGCACTGTTCTAGGTGCTATATACTATTATAATAATGAACTCATCAGCCCTTTGGGAACTGATAAGCTCTTTACTTTGATCTCCAACTTAAAGGTCTATGTGCTTTAATTACAAATGAATAGAAACAAAAACAGAAGGAAAAATTTGAATAGCACTTGATATTTCCTAGGCTCTCGAATGACAAAGTATGGTGTAGGGAAGTTGGTGTCCAGGGGGAAATGGAAACCCTTTAAAACATTTTTTAGTGGGGGCGCCTGGGTGGCTCAGTGGGTTAAAGCCTCTGCCTTCGGCTCAGGTCATGATCCCAGGGTCCTGGAATCGAGCCCCTCATCGGGCTCTATGCTCAGCAGGGAGCCTGCTTCTCCTCTCCTCACCCCGCCTGACCCTGCTTTCTCTGCCTGCCTCTCTGCCTACTTGTGATCTCTGTCAAATAAATAAATAAAATATTTTAAAAAAAAAAATTTTTTTTAGTGTCATCTATGTGTTTGGAACACTTACAAATTTTTCATTTAATTCTCATTACTATAACTCTAAAATGGATTGTACCATTTAATATAAGGGGAAAGAACAAGTTTTAGGAGTTAAGTGCTTATATAATTTTTCTATATTTAAAAAAAAAAGTTAAGTTTTAGGAGTACCAGAGTTCCACAAATACTATGGTGGCATAAGCAAGATTTAAAAACTTGTCTTTCCATTAACTTTATTTATACCCTTTCACCAAAACGTGAAGCAACTACCAATACAAATGACATTTATTCAACAAATTCTTTTTGCCTGCATACTCTATGCTAGTATTGCTAGATACAAAGATACAATAATGTGTAAGAGAAGTATGGTCTCTAAGAGCTTAGAATATTTTAAATGGCAGCAGAAGAGAAATAAGTGAGGTGAAGAAAACTTACTGCTCCTAAAGAATCTTGAAGATGTCTAAACTTAGAAGTAAGATGGTAATAGAGAAAGATAATATGGAAAACAGAATTAACTAGAATTTTTACCCCTTCCTACTTCACTTATGCTCATTCCCAAAGCCAAACAATCTAGCAGTTTATTGTATTCCCACTCTTCTTGGAAATCAGAGTTGTTTAAATTACGATATTTTGATATTCTGTTAGCTAAGCTGATAACACCTTGGCATCCCCTTCTTCCCTCATCTTTCTGTTTATGTCTTCTGATGCTGCCAAATGAATTAAAGATCATAACCTTTAAAAGGTCAGGACTTTCCTTTAAATGTATCTGAGTTCTCTTACTAGGACCTCCAAGCAAATACTCCACTTCCAACTGTGGGATCCTTATTTACATTCTCAGCATACATACTTGTGATAATAATAGGAACATATAACTTTGTAGGTGGCACACCCTGTGCTAAGCACGTTACATACATGCATTATCTCAGTTAAACCCTAAAACAACCTCATGACCTTAGCAGAGACAACTTTGTGTTCCCCAAATTCTGTTTCCTTTACTTCACAACACACCTTATATTTCCCACCCTCCTTCCTGATCAGTCAGGGTCATGTGACTGATTTCTGTCCAGTGGAATGTGAATAGAAATGATGAAACCCATTTAAGGCTTGGCCCACAGAACCTGTAGAACATCCTACACATGCTCCATATTCTCTTTCTTTCCATACTTAGCAGCTGAATGAAAACTTCAAAGAATTTAGAGGAAGTCAAAACCACAAAATGCAAGAAGCCTAGGGCCCCAAATTAATCCTTGTGGAAATGTCATCCAAACATGGCGAGGAACACCTGTGTTGGATTTTACTTGTTTTATTAAATTATGCCCCTGAAATTATAATGCTGTATTTTATAGTAATTAGCTACCCTGCCTAATATACTTCTCTTCATTTTGCTGGTGAAGAGAAATTGAGGCTTAGGAAAAGTTAAGTAATTTGCTTAAATTTGCTCAGCTGTTAGGTGGGGGAACTAGGAATAGATCTCAGGTCTGTCTGACTTTAAAGTTTGAGCTCTCACTGCTTAAGTTTCTCATGATACTATTTCATGTACTTCTAAAAATTTCATAAAAGGGGGCACCTGGATGCCTCAGTCAGTTAAACAGCTGCC